GGATTACTGAAAGGACAGCCTGTGTGCTCCATCACTGTTCATTCAGAGTCAAGAGTGTTAGAGGAAGGCTCCTAGTACACTGGGAAACATCACCAAAAGGCTAGCTTGCCTCTGCCTAATGATCTCCAGTGGGGAATAAACTACTACCTCTATTTCAAGGAGCCCATTCCCCTTTTGGATAGCTCTAATTGCTGATAAATTTTCTTTACATCAAACCTAAATCTGTCCACCTGCAACTTCCACTTATTACTTTCAGTTCTGTTCTCTGGGGCCAGGCAGAACAAATCTATTTTTATTTAATATTTTATTTTCCCCCAATTACATGTAAAAACAATTTTTAACATTTGTTTTTAAAGATTTTGATTCCCAAATTCTCTCCCTCTCTGCCTCCCCTCCTCTTTCATTGAGAAAACAAGCAATATGATATAGGTTATACATGTGCAGTCATGCAAAATATATTTCCATATTAGTCATAGTTTGAAAGAAAACACAGACCAAAAAAACTCCAAGAAAAACAAAGAAAGTAAAAAAAAATGCTTTGATCTGCATTTGGACTCCATCAGTTCTTTCTCTGGATATGGATAGCATGTTTTTCATCACAAGTCCTTCGAAATTGTCTTGGATTATTGTATTGCTAAAAATAGCTAAGTCATTCCCAGTTGATCATCACACAATACTGCTGTTACTGTGCACAATGTTCTTCTGGTTCTGTTCATTTCACTTTCCTACAGTTCATGTAGCCTTTCTAGGTTTTTCTGAGAGCGTCCTGCTCATCATTTCTCATAGTACAATAGTATTCCATCACAATCATATACCACAACTTGTTCAGCTATTCCCCAATTGATGGACATCCCCAATTCTTCGTCACCACTAAAAGGGCTGCTATAAATATTTTTGTACATGTAGGTCCTTTTCCTTTTTGTTTTTTATCTCTTTGGGATACAGACCTAGTAGTGGTATCCAAGCAGAATACATCTAAACTCTCTTCTACATAATGATGTTTAAAATACATTGACAGCTGGCATGTCTCTCTAAAGCTTCCTTTCCCCAGTAGAGAAAGGGAAAGAATTATAAGGAAAATGTTTGTAACTTTAAATCACTACGCAGATGTGAGCTGTTGTTATTTTTCTTCTTCTCTTCACAGACCATGCTTAAAAGTCTGTGCCCTAGAGAAATAAATCCCATGAAGTAATCTCTTTAGCGTTATTGTTATGTCAGAATATGGAAGGTTCACGATTGGTGAATTCAACATCAATTCTAAGCCTTTATGCTTCAAACTGAATAGAGCTCCTTCACATTTCTGTCATCATTAACAGAACTGCTATCTTTCCAGGTTCCTGGTCTTGAAATTTTGTAATTGTTTTCAACTTTCCCTTCTTCCTGACCTCTCACATTCAGTCAGTCACCATGCCAATTATGAATTAAAATGCAAAATATAAAAGTGCCTACACATTTCATACATATAATATTATATTCTCAGAATCACCATTCCTGCTTCTGGGTAGATATATGGAAGCTTTGAGGGCCTTGCTTTTAGCCATATTAACTTATCATTGAGGGGCTTGCTTTATGACATGATGAGGAGTTACCTTATTAGTTGACAAGCCAGAAGAACTGACATGTCTGTAGATGTATAACAGTTCAAAGTGAGCTAAGGCTGTTTCAAACTGCTTCCCAGGAGACAGGTGGGTGGACAAGTGGCTTACCTCAACCCCATCCTCTGACTCCATGAGACTGTGTGCACAGAGAATCTAAAGCATATGTCCTGCATAGATAAAACTGAGCCTTAATCTGAGCTGTTTCTTTTGTGTTTAGCTATTTTTTTGTATTTGTCCTTTTCTGATCTTATGAAAGATAGTGCCTACCCCAAGAATAACACGTCTAGGAATGGAGGCGAACTTGTGAGTTTGAGAGGTCTGGAGTCCTAGTCCCATCATCGGGCTGAAGCTAACTAGTAGAAAAAGAGAGAGGTTCCAGCCAAATACTCAAATTCTCTTGGAGAGGATGTCTTCCAACAAGAAGAGTGCCATTTTACCAGTAGATGTACCAGGAGTTATTTGAATAGTGCCAAGCCAAAGTGAAATGTAAAATGAGCAATTAGCAGACTTGCAAATTGCTTTATGAAGTATGAACTATGTTCTTATGAAGTATGTCTCCCAGTAGATTGTAACAGTAGTTATACATTGTTATTGAATCCTTTTTCCAAGAATATTTTTAAAATTTTATCTTTTCTTTTGTGTGTGTGAATAAATTATTTGTCCCATATTTCATTCATATTATACACTGAGTGCTTTATTTACTCTTCCTTTTTAGGGAGGTCATAGATGTGACGTATCAATTTTTCTCCAGTGCACCAGAGTGGGGAATCTAAGCCAAAGGGTAAAAGAAAAGGGTGTTTCTCCCCTGCCCTGAGGGATAGGCTCACCTTGGACTTTCCACATGCTTAGGTATAGAAGAGTATAGAACAGAGAATAGTATTCCAGCCCCCTGTGGGCCCACCAGTGGTTCCTAAAGGTTAGATAAATAAGTATCCTAAGACTCTACTCTTCCTCCCTTCCACCATCTTCCTTTATGCTACATCACCTCATCTGAATGACCTCAATAGCATCCTAATTGCTTTTCAGATTTCAATCTCACCCATTTCGGCCCATTCTGCACAGTGATGCAGGATTAATTTATCTCAAATACCGTTTTCAGCCCACCCTTCAGGGACTTAGGATAGCTCATGAAACAATCCCAGTTCTTGAGGAACTTGCAAATAATGGAGGAAGCACAAGAACACAAACAACTATGATACAATTAAGAGTAGGATAAGTGCAAAGGAGAGGCCCAGACAAAGTGTTAAAAACCATTTGAGGAGGAAGAGATTATTTTCAACAGGAAGAGAGTAGGAGGAGGGGGTAAAGTCAGGAAAGGCTCCACAGAGGATATTACACCTTAATTGGGCCTTGAAGGAATGGAAGTACTTCAATAGAGATTGTGTCAGGGTGGTCAGGAGCAGTAGGCGTGGGGAGGCAAAGTTCATTTTAAGCACTGGAGACAGCAGAAGCAAAGGCATGGAGATGAACAAGGGGAAGATGGGATGAGGAGGTAGAGAGTAGTTCACTTTGGCTGAGACATACAAGAAGTGAAGGGAAACACTTAGAGGTTGGAACTGTATTTCAGAGGAGTTTATATTTATTCAGTAGGTAATATAGATATACTAGAGATTTTTGAATAAGGACTGATATGATTAGACCTAGGTGTTGGGAATATGACTCAGGTAGTGCTCTGGAGGATGGATTGGACATGGAAGAGAAGGAAGGCAGAAGACCGATTAGGGAGGAATTGCAATAGTTCAAGTTCATTGTGAGGAAAGAGAAAAAGGGATGGATATGAGAGATTCTGAAGAGGCTAAATTGACAGTGTTTCACAACTGATGGGATATGACAAGTAAGGGAGAAGGAATAACCTAAGAAAACATTATATTTTTACCATGGGAGAAATGATGGATGGTGGTACCATTGACAAAAAACAGTCAAGTCAGAAGAAGGAAGAAACTTTTGGAATAAGAGAGTAAGCTCAGTTTTAGACATGCTGGGTTTGAAGTATTTAAGAGATTTTTCAGGTTGGTTATTTCTTCTAGGTAGCTGAAAGTCAGATGTGGAGCTTGGAAGAGAGGACAGGGCTGGAGATGTATAATTATGAGTCACTTGTATAGAGGTGATAATTAGGACTATGGGCAGAAATGAGAATATAAAATAGTAGAGATTGGCAGGAGAAAGAAAGAGGGTAAAGGACAGAGCCTTGGAGGGTGTGAATCTAAAGCGGTCAGGAAGAGGATGATAAAGCCAGTGAAGGAAACAAGGAAGGAATGGCTAGAGAGACAGGAAAAAAGCCAGGAGAGTGTGCTGTCTCTGAAGCCAAGGTTGGACAAATTGTCATTAAGAACTGGGCAAAGAGATCAAGGAGGATGAAGACTGAAAAAAAAGACCACTGAACTTGGTCAAGGGAGACTTCTGATCCATTTCTGTAGAATGTTGAGGGGGGGGAGACAGAGAAAGAGAAGTAAAGAGGGAGAAAGGCAGAGAGGAAAAGGAGAGAAAAAGAGTGAGAGGGAGAGGGAAAGAGGAAGAGGAAGAGGGAAGGGTCAGACAGCAATGAATTGAGAAAGTGAGTGGTGAAGAATTGGAAGCATCAGGTGCAAACAATTTTTTTTTCTAACAAGTTTGACAGTGAAGGTGAGGAGAAAGATGGGCACTTAACCTTTCTGAGCTCTAGATGCTTGGATAAGCAAGAGCTGAGTTTGGCCCCCACCTAGGACACTATGAATTTTTATTTTTTTCTGGCCATATTTATTATAGATTACTGACACCATCCCAGTCATCAAAACAACAATGCATTTTTAATGCCATGGGCTTTGCCTGGCCTCCCATGCACCCCTAGATAGCATCTGGTTAATAGCTGGCTTCTTCCTGCTTCAGTTCTCCCAGCATGAAGAATTCCACATTCAGCTAAATGAGCACACAGAGGGTTCTCTTGCCCCCTTCCCTTCTTTTCCCAAAGGAACATTTGATAAACATGTTGTAAGCTTTGATGCTTTACCCCTCCAAGATGCCCTTGTCAAGATATCAGATGTTGTCTAACTTAGAATACACACTGCAGGCTGAGAAATTGTGATTGGTCTCATTGTTAAAAACTCTTTCTTGCTTATTGGCATGACAACTGAGCTAAATAGAGCTGAGATGAATGCGAGGCTATTTTTGGTGCCTCCTCTAGGATTTCACGCACACTGTGTATTTTGCATCATTTTAATACTTGGGCATACTAAGGAGTCTGAGGCAAACACTCGTTTGTAAATGTTACAGCCTGCCAAGCTTGGGTGGGTGTTTTGCAGGGTGACGTTTTTCATCTCACATGATTACTTTTGGCACCAGCCAGATCAGGGAAAGATTTCACTTTTTTAAAGCTGGAAATAAAAGTGTTAGTTCAGTTTGGTAGAAAGGCAGGCTCTCACTTACCTTTATCCTGTCCATACAGGCTTCCATTTTGAGTTGCTCCACAGCTTTTCGGGCTTGAGAGATACTGGTTGTGCTGTTATTAGACATGCCTTCTTTCATTCTCTTTCCCCAGAAACTGTCAAAGTTAGAGAATTAGAAAGCTGTAAATTATGTTGAGTGTAACAATGTGCCTATTATCTCCAGATTGTAAACATTCACACAATAAAAGTGATGTTTCATCCTTCCGAAAGAATAGGAATAATATGACCGATACATATAGTATTAACAAACAGTATGACCAAATGTCATGAAATTCCTTGAAACAGTCTCTCAGTACCTGGTTGTCTGTCAACACTGGGCACTGTCAATAAATGGAACAGAAAGTTCAAATCCCTAATTGCTATCCTCTAGTACTATTATTATAATTGACCTCATAAGTTATAAACCTAAATGTCCTGTTATTTCAATAGCATTTTTAAAATCAATCATGTACTTCACTGTGTTACTGAGGCAACAATTTCGGAGAGTTGTCTTTAAATAATGTCATATATGCATGCATGTACAAACATGCACATCATTAGAAACGCCAATTGCCTTTCCTTTCTAAAAACAGAAAAGATATTCTCAGTGACCTGGCTGGGTATTGAGGTTACAAGACAATTACTGGCTGGTGGATACATGGGGGAATCTTATTAAAAATTATCTATCAGTCTATGTCTGTCTGGCTGTCAGTTCATCTGTCTATCTATCTGTCTGTCTGTTTGTCTGTCTGTCTAGCTATCTATCCATCTGTCCGCTGCACCACTCTACTGAAACTGTTGGATCAACAGTCATCAGTGACTAAGTTCAATACCCCCTTTTTCTCCCCCCAGTTCTCATCCTTCTTGATCTCTCTGCCCAGTTCTTATGGAAAGTTTCTTGGCTTTTGAGTCACCACACTTTCCTGGCCCCCAAACAAATGAATGTAATGCCAAGTGCTCCATGGTGGTATATTTATAAAGCACATGCTCTGTCTTATACTTATTGCATCTAATGAAAACCATTTGGAGAGAGCCATCATAATTAAAGGCTCAGAGAGAGTAGGAAGCTGACCAAAGACAAATCCTTGCTATGTTGTGTAAGGAACAAAAATAATTTTCAATCACCACACAGCAAGGGGTAGGAAGATATTATCCTGGCATCCAGGTCAGTCTTTTTCCTCTGGATTTTTCATTTTCTGGACAACTACCTTGTTTAGGCTGTGTGCAATGTAGCACAGGATGGTTAAACTTTGCCCTAAATGCAGCCCTTTCAGTCCCTCAGCAACATAGTAACAACTCAACTTAGCACCTAGGTAGCAAGAATAATTAATTTCTTACTTTTAAATATATATTTCATTTATTTAATTAAATATTTCCCAATTACATGTAAATTTTTTTAAAACAGTCATTAAAAAATATCAAGTTCCAAATTCTCTCCCTCCCTTCTGCCCCTCCCTGACCCAAGAATAATTAATTTCAATAGGAAGTTACTGATGCTTCTTCCCTCCTCAGCACCCTTGTCCCCTCAGCATCTTTACCTCAAGTGTGCTCCTTTCTAGTCCAGCCCTAACCCTGCTTCAGACTCCCAGAGCCTTCAGGGCAGTGGCCCATTGCCCCTTCCTCACAATTGAATGCCACTTGCTCCAGGCATATTTTTTTCTCTTGTCCTAGCAGCAAAAACTGATGGCTACCTGTCTTGCTTTCCCAGTCATAAGGGGCTGAGTCTTGGGGAAAAAAAGCCAGGTACTCTAAGAGGCAGACTAAGGAAGGAGAGAGCATTCCAGGAATGGAGGGTAACTCAAGTAAAAAGTCACAAAGATGGGAGATGGAGCATCTTGTGTGAAGAACTGAAAGGAGGCCAATGTGGCTGGAGCACAGAGTACATGTAGGGAGGACTGCAAAGACAGGATAGAGGCATGTTGTGAAGAGCTTAAAATGACAGGTTTATTGAGGGAAGTGGGATAGAGTGACAGAGTCAGATCTGTACTTTAGACAAACCACCTTGTGGAGGATGGAGTGCAGCGGGGAGAGATCTGAGGCAAGGAGCCCGATTTATGAGGCTATTGAAATAGCTGATGTGAGAAGTGATTAAGGCTTAAACTAGGGCGGTCGTTGTGTGAGTGGAGAGATGAGGTTGTATCTGAAATAGATTGTGGAGAAACAGTAAGATTTGGCAACTGATAGGCTTTGTGGGGTGAGTGAGGGTGAGGAGTCCAGAATGACACCAAAATTGAGAGTCTGGGTGTCTGGAAAGATGGCAGTGCCTTTGACAACAACAGGGAAGTTTAAATGACGGTAGATTCAGAAAAAAAGACGAGTTCTGTTTTAGATGTGTTGAGTTTGAGACGCCTGCCACACCTTCCATTTGAAATGTCCAATAGGCAGCTGGTGATGTGGGCCAAGAGTTTAGGAGAGAGACCAGGGCTGGCTGGATATATTGATCTGGGAATCATTTGCCTGCGGATGATACTTGAACCCATAGGTGCTGATGAGATGATCAAATGAGAAAGTATAGAGAGAAAAGGGAAGAAGACATAGGACAGAGCCTTTAGGGGTATCAACAGTTAGTGTTATGGCATGGATGAAGGTCCAGCAAAGGAAACTGAGAAATAGATGGGTAGAAAGCAAACCAAAGGAGAGAAGTGTCACAAAACCCAGGAACGGCAATCAGTTGTCTCAAATGTTAGAGAGGAGTCAAGAAGGATGAGGATTGAGGTCATTAGATTTGGCTATTAAAAGATCAGTGATAACTTTGAAAAAAACTGTTTCACTTGAATGAAGTTGGATGACAGATTGCTAAGCATTTCGAAGAAAGTGAGGGGGTGGGGTGGGGGGGAAGTGAAGAAATGGATTATAGATGCCTTTTTTAAAGGAATGTAGCTGAAAAGGGGAGGAGAACTATAGGATGATAGACTGAGGGAAGGCAGAATCTAGTAAGGTTGTTTGTTTTTTTTTTTAAAGAATAAAAGCGACTGGGGCAACTAGATTCTACAATGAATAGAGCACTGGCCCTGGAGTCAGGAGGACCTGAGTTCAATCCAGCCTCAGACACATGATACTCACTAGCTGTGTGGCCCAGGGTAAGTCACTTAACACCAATTGCCTCACAAAAAAAGAATAAAAGAGACTTAGGTGTGTTTTAGGTAGCATCTGGAGTACTGTATTTACCCTGAGCATCACAGTTTAGGGCAGTCATTGATAAACTGCATGGTGTCCAGAGAATGACAACCTGGGTCATGAAAGACCTCAGGCTCACATTATGTGAGATTCTATCAAAGGAAGTGGGCATCTTTAATCTAGAGATGAGAAGATATAATAATAATAATAATAATAATGATAATAATAATAATAATGGCTAACATCTACATAATACTTTGAGGTTTGCTAAGTATTTTATAAACATCTCATTTTAACCTCACAACAATTCTGGGAAGTAGGAGCTGTTATTATCTCCCATTTTATATACGGGGGAAACTGAGGCTATGAAGTAGAAGTTAAGAATTTCCCAGGGTCATACAGCTAGTAACTGAGACTGACTTTGAACCTGAGTCTTCCTGACTCCAGGTCTAGCATTCTATCCATTGCACCACTTAACTGCCTAGGAATTTCATGGAAGGTGGACATCACAGGTCTCTTCAAGTATCTGGAGAGCTGTCATGTGGAAGAAGGAATAGATTTTTGTTTTGTTCGGCCCAAAAAGACAGAACTTCTTAATACTTTGAGCTGCCCACAGTATAATGGGCTTTAATGGGGGTCAGTGGGTTATCTTTCTTCGCAGTTCTTTAAACAAAGGCTCTGGTACTTGTTGTGGAGACTTGAGTATGGAGATGCTAATGGATGACTTCCCTTCTAATGAAATCCCTTTTAATTCTGTGATGCTATAATTTATCTTAAAGATGGAAGAAGATTCCAGAGATGAAGCTGAAAAGCCCAGCTCTGCATATGCACAGTATACAAAAACTTCATCACTTCCCACCACTGCCAACTCATTAAAACTCACTCAATTTGTAGGACGCTAATTTATTTACTTTTATTGTGTTCTTATCCAACTTTTTCTTTAGCTGTTTTTATGTATTTGTTATACAAGTTCTGTCCCTATAACCGGACTGCAAAAAACCCAAACTCCCAGGACCTCAGATTTTATTTCTTCCAATTTCCCATTTCTTTGTACACAGGAGGCATTCAGTTGAATGTTTTTTGCCTAGAAGCACAGAATGTAAGATCTAGAAGGGGCTACAAAAAGAAACTAGTACAAACAACTGGTTTTTAGAGATGATATTTAGGCCCACAGAAATGAACTGATTTGTCCCAGACCACATAGATATGTAGTGACAGAGCTAAGAGTAGGATGCAAGTCCAGTGATTTCTTACTACTGTGCTCAAGGGATGCCATGCAGCTTGCACATACATATGGTTCCTCTGGGAGAATGCAAGAAAGCCTACCCCACTGAATTATTGGAGGGATTCGCATCTTCATTCCACCTCTCCCTCTGCAGCTATACCTAGGGTGTTTAATATTGGGATAATTTCTAGCACTACTCTTTGGGTCCCTCTCACTTTCTTATGTGGACTAGCCAAATAGAATGATGGGGAGTGGTGAAAAAAGAAAACTAGGTGAGTCTTGCTAGCTGGTTCTAAAAAAGATCTGAGATTCTTCCCATCTTCTCCCTTCCATATCATCCTTCAGTTTGCATTTTGCCCTTTTCTGGCATCTCCAATTTGCTTTTCCTATTCAAGGTTTCTTTTGGTCTCCATTTGAACCAGAAGTCACTATTTAACAGGGTTGGAGGGAGTACAGAGTGGGATTTGCCTGAAGTAAACTCCAAATTCGTAAGGTTGGCTTCACCCACAGCTCTTCTTCTTGTGACCTCCCCTATCATCTTCCCCTAACATCCACACTGTGAACTGTGAAAATGTTAAGTAGAACAAGTGTCCCATAGGAAGGCTCTGCTCCCATGAGGTGGGGGACTGAAATGTTATAAAAAGATGGTTCTGGCAGCCCAGCTTCTGCCACAGGGACCTGGAGTTGGGGTAGCAAGACCGACACTCACTAGGCTTGAGACCAAGAGCATGGACAAAAGAAGAATGAAGTGAATGAAATGCAATTGGCTCCTTCCTCACATTCCATACACATTGGCAAGAAACACATAGACCTGAGGGACCATTTGTGGTCAGAGTCACAAATGAGTCAGCTTTCTTACCTGTTGTCAGGGCAGGTCCAATGACCTGGCGCAGGTGTCTCACAGGGAGCTGGAGGCACAGAAGTTATCGACGCAGATCCACAGGTGGAAGCAGGAGCAGTGCTTGAACCTGTCTATGATCAATGCTGAATCAGGGCTCCTAACAGGCGTCCATCTGAAACAAAAACCAAAGGAAGGGCTAGGAATGGGAAGAGAAAACTTTCCTCTCTGAAAGTGAAAAACAAACCCAAACAAACCACAAACTACTCCACTTTTCCTCTTTCCCACAGAAAGACCAGGCCTGACTGCACACTACTGCTCAAGATGGCATGTGAAGGGTTATGGAAGTAGGTGGAGCCTGGAGAGATCATAGCTCCTAGAACCATAGACCAGGACCTTGATCATCAAACCAATTTAATGGCTTTTTCCTCAATCCTCATTCTTCCTGGCCTTTGACACTGCTGATCACCCTCTTCTCTCCAGGTTTTTGTGACACTGATCTATGTGGATTCTTCTCCTGTGTCTCTGACCAGTCCTTCTCAGTCTCCTTTGCTGCATCTTCATCCATGCCATGCTTGCTAACCTTGTGTGTTCTTCAGGGCTCTGCCTGAGCCCCCTTCTCTTCTCCCTCTACACAATGTCACTTGGTGATATCATCAGCTCCTGTGGATTCAATTATAATTGCCAAGCTGATTCTCAGATCTATTGATTCAGCCTCACCCTCTCTCCTAACTTCTGGACTTACTGCCTGTTGGACATCTCTAACTGGATGTCTTATAGACATCTTAAACTCATAATGTCCACAGCAGAAATAATTCTCTTTGTTTTCAAAAGCTCCCAACTTCCAAACTTCCCTATTCCTTTCCAGGGCACTGCCATCCTCCCAATCCCCCTGGTTCTCAAACTAGGCATCATCTTCAACTCCTCATGTTTTGCCAACCCCCATATCTAATCACTGGTCAAGTCCTGTCATTTCTACATCCATTTTTGTTGTTGTTCAGTCGTTTCAGTCATGTCTGACTTTTTGTGACCCCATTTGGGGTTTTCTTGGCAAAGATACTGCAGTGGTTTGCCATTTCCCTCTCTAGCTCGATCTACAGATGAGGAGACTGAGGCAAACAGGGCTAAATGACTCGCCTGATGGTTGGTCTTCTTGATTCAAATCTCTCCCCACTTCAGTCCATTCTCTACTCAGCTGTCAAATTCATCTTCATAAAGTACAGATCTGAGCATGTCATTCCTACTCCCTACCCCCACCTTATTCCATAAACTCCATTGCCTCCCCATCATCTCCAGGAAATATATAAAATTCTCTGTTCAAAACCTTTCATAACCTGGTCCCCTCCTACCTTTCTAGTCTTCTTCAACCTTATGCACCTCCACATATTCCAGAATCCAGTGACACTTCCCTCCTTACTGTTCCTTGCACAAGATGCTTCATCTCCTACCTCCACGCATTTTCATGGCCAGTTGCCCATGCCTGGAATTCTCTCCCTCCTCATCTCCATCTCCAGGATTTCTTGGCTTTCTTCAAATCCCAGCTAAAATCCCACCTTCTACAGGAAGCCTTTCCTAAGCCCCCCTCCCCCCCTTACTGCTAGTGTCTTCCCTCTGTTGATTATCTCCAATTTGTCATGTATATTTCTTGTTTGTACATAGTTGTTATTGTGTTGTCTCCCCCATTAGAGTCTGATCTCCTTAAGAGCAGAGGCTGTCTTTTGCCTTTTTTGTGTGTCCCCAGTGCTTAGCATAATGCCTGACACGCAATAGGTGCTTAAAAAATGCTTATTGACTGGCTGACTCTGGAGTCTATTAGAATCTTCGCCATAACTAATGACCAAACCCAAAATCAGATCTAACAAAGAATATTTCTTTTTGTAATACTTTTAAAGATATCCTTTCTCCTAGAGGCAGCATGGCGTAGTGAAGAGAGCCCTGACCAAGGAATCCAACCACCCCTACCCCAGCTTGGTCACTATGTAGTCTGAAGCAAGTCATTTAACCTTGCCAAGCCTCAGTTTCTTGCCTACCAAATGGAGAGAATCACACTTGCACCCCTCGACTGAAAACTGCTGACAGAAAGTGCTTTGTCAATTGAAAAGTGCTATGTAAATATCTATCTAAAAACCATCTAAAACCCAGCATGCCAGGTGGAGGCATTCATGGCCTTAGACCTACCATAGATCTCCCCTCTATCCAAATAATGTTTTTATTGATATCTTTTTTTATATCATCATAATTTCTACCAGTATCTTCTGTCTCTCGTTCTCAGAGAGCCATATAAATAATATAATTTTGCAAGATCAAAAAAAGAAAAAAATGAAAAAGATCATCATAATTGAGCAATATATTGAAAAAGTCTAAAATTATGTGCAATGTAAAACACTTGTATGTTTTCTACCTCTGCCAAAAGGTGAGGGGGGGGATGTCTTTTCATCTCTTTTCTTTCAAGCCAGGCTTGTTCTTTATACTTTTGCAACCTTAAGTTTTGATTTTTGGGAGCTTATTCTTTCAATTTACATTGCTGTAGCCATTATGCAGGTTTTCTTCTTGGTTCTGCTTACTTCACTCTGTATCAATTCGTGGAGATCTTTCTGCAGAAAGAAGCAGAATGCTTCTGTGTATTCATCACAGCCAGCATTTCTTACAGAAATGTAATTTTTATAGAAAAGTAATATTCCATTACAGTCATGTACCATAGTTCGTAGAGCAATTCGTCAATCAATAGACATCTACTTTTTTTTTCTCTATTTCTTTGCTGTCACAAAAAGTACTACTTTGATATTTTGGTATATTGGGGATTTTCTTATCAGTGGTCTCCCTGGGGTATCCAGTTACGGAACCTCTGTGTCAAAGAGTATGGATTATGTCTTTTTATTGGGTATAGTCTATATATTTCAAGACTATGGATTATATTTTAGTCACTTTATTTGCATAATTCCAAATTGCTGTAAAAATGCTTAGTTAAAAACCATCAAAAAAAAAAGTGAGGGGCAGCAATGTGGCACAGTGGATAGAGCAACCAGTTCTAGAGTCAGGAGGACCTGAGTTCAAATGTGACCTCTGACACTTACTAGCTGTGTGATCCTGGGCAAGTCACTTAACCCTGAGTGCTGCGCCTCCCCCCACCCCAAAATGCCAATCATCATTTCTGTTCCTATATTCGTTATCCACCTAACCACTGACCAAATAGAAAGAAATAATAATTTTGAATAGAAGATAACTTTAACATCATATATAAATATTTTTTTAAAAATTATCTGTCACTTAACAATTACATATGTCCTCAAGGGTTTTTGTGGAGAGGCAGTGTGATGTAGTGATCAGGATCCTAGCCTGAAGCCAGGAAGACCTGGGTTGAAGTCCTGCCTCTGACACATACTGGCTGTGTGACCCTGGATGAATCACTTCTCAGTTCTCTAGGCAGATTTTTAAGATAGTAAGTTACACAGAGAGAGTGTCCATTGGTACTGGAAAGAGTTTCCTCACCTGAACTCACAGGTCCAGTCCCAATCCCTATCAAAGGGTTTTTAGGAGTGCCTGTAAGTGCCTTACCGTGTTCTGCCTCAATCAGAATTTAAAAACAAAGACTGGGATTAAATGGAACAATGAAAGACGCATTTTGCCTTATTTGTATTTGGTCCAAATTGAATTTGGTTTTGAACACCACGGTGTCTGTTTGACTGCTTCTCACTTCCCCTGTCTGACCTGCCTATGCTGACCTGGGACCTCTAGAGCATACTTTTATCTTGCTTTTTGTCAGAAGTTCCTCCTTCAATTTCCAATTCTTTGCCGACACAAAAGGAACTGTTACAGAATCATAAAATTTAAAGTTTGAAAGGACCTCAGAAACCCTCAAAGGAAACTGAGATCATGAGGAAATGGAGAGGGATCAGATGCCAGAGAGCTTGTGGTATATGATTGTAATGAAATATTATTGTGCCATAAGAAATGATGAGCAGGATGCTCTCGGTAAAACCTGGAAAAATTTACATGGACTGATGCAGAATGAAGTAAGCAGAACCCGGAGTATAGTGTACACAGTAACAGAAAGATTGTATGATGAACTGTGAATAACTTAGCTATTCTCAGCAATGCAATGATCCAATACAATCCCAAAGGACCGATGATGAAAAATGTTATTCACCTCCATAGAAAGAACTGATGGAGTCTGAATGCAGATTGAAACACACTATTTTTCACTTTTTTTTGGTTCAAGTTTTCATTCACAAAATGACTAATATGGAAATATGTTTTACATGATTGCACATATATAACCAATATCAGATTGCTTATCATCTCAGGGATGAGGAAGGGGAGGGAAGGAGAGAATTTGGAACTCAAAAATTTAAAAAACAAATGTTTAAAATTGTTTTTACATGTGATTGGGGGAAATAAAATATTATTAAAAAAAGTTCCTCCTTGTTAAGCTTGTGAGATTTCATTGCTTTTTCTATTTTTTTTTTTTGCACGGGGTAGGGCAGGATAGGAAAGGAGAAGTAGATATCGATATCTATCTATCTATCTATCTATCTATCTATCTATCTATCTATCTATCTATATCTAATTTTATGTTGTTTCATTCCTTATCTATGACCTTTGAATTTTAGCTTTTGGGCTTCTTGTTTTAAAAACCACTTTTGACTCATTCACTCATTTCTTGTTTTCTTCTTCACTTTCATTCTCTTAAAATTCCTTTCTGTCTATGGGTGGGTTTTTTCTTTTGGGAGGGGCTTATTGATATTTCCAGTGGTGCACAGGAGCTGATCACAGTGTATCTGATACAATCACATTAATGATAGAGGGAAAGTGTGGAGGTCTCCTCATATTTCCTTAAGCCAAGGCTTCTCCTCTTCCATCATTTTCATTTCCATAAAGAAGTGTGGAAGTTAGGTGGTGAAGTCCAAGATAAAAACCACAGAAAAGGCTGCCTATTCAGAGGATGAAGAAGAATTGTTTGCTGCCTTGAGCACACTTCCTAGGGTGAGGCTTTTAAATGAGGTTCTAGGAGTCTCATTTAAGATTTTCCAGCCTACCTTTTCACTTCTTTGGAATTCTGGCTGGTACCAACTCCTCAGTGGCTTACTCACTATTTCCTCAATTAACACTAATGGTGGTTCTGCTGTCTGGCAATGCTGATCTCTAGGCACTCCTCCAAGCTGTCTACAGGGAGAC